AACAACGAGCTCTTTCCGCCATGACCCTGTATGTCATGGCAGTAACTGCGATACAATTTGGCTCATGATTTAGACAAAAATATCTTCTATTGACCCACTAGAACACTGAGTACAACTGTATTTCAGATAAAAACCCTCCAGTATTCAAAAACAGGACCCCTGAGATTTTGGGTCACTTTGGAGGTCACACCCCGAAGGGAAGACCCACCTCCCTGTCACTGGTAGGGGTCAAATTCTTTGGAGGTGAGTACATGTGTTGTATCACTTGGAAAATCTTGCAGGAAGAAGGGTGTCTTTCTGGCTGACCTGAAGGGAGACTGTGAGCCAGGGAGATCACAGGTGGCACCTGGGGTTCTCTTCTAACGTGATGGTTTTCCTCCTCTTTCCCTTCACCGGCTAGGCTCCTCCAGGGGACTGAGGCCACCATGGCTCAGGAGAAGTCCCTCATCCTGTTCCCACTGCTAGTCCTGGTGCTGTTAGTGCTGGGGTGGGTCCAGCCTTCCCTGGGCAGGGAATCACGGGCCATGAAGTTCCAGCGGCAACACATGGACCCAGACGGCCCCAGCAACAACTCCAACTACTGCAACCAAATGATGAGGCGCCGGCATATGACAGAGGGATGGTGCAAGCCAGTGAACACCTTCGTGCACGAGCCTCTGGTAGATGTCCAGGCCATTTGCCTCCAGGGAAACATTCTCTGCAAGAATGGGAAGCCCAACTGCCACAAGAGCAGCTCCAGCATGAAGATCACGGACTGTCGTGTGAAGAGCAGCTCCGAGTACCCCGACTGTGACTACCAGACCAGCCACAAAAAGAGGCACATCATCGTGGTCTGTGAGGGAAACCCGTATGTGCCCGTCCACTTTCATGCTTCAGTAGAGGTCTCCACCTGAGACCAGAGCAGTGAGATGCCCCACCTCATTGTGTCGCCTGTCTCTCCCTCCTCCTTGCTAGCACTGAGGGAAATGACTCAAGTTAGGGCTCCTATCCAACACTAAAGTGTTTCCCTGGCCTGAGACTTGGTCCTGCGTGGTTTGAGGGTGAGGGGTGGGTTGTGAGGTGGGAACCATGTGAACCACTTTACTGCTTCTTTCAATAAAACTCAGTTGCAACTACCTGGCTTCCTGAAGCTGTCTCCATTCAGGTTACTGTTAATGTGATTGCTTTCCTGCCAGAAGGTGAGAACTGCATTTCTGGTTAACTTTAGTGAGCAGCAAGTAGAATCATTAAATGCCTCCTCTCTGACTCTTGGCTTTTAGAGAATTCTTTTTGGAGATAATCCCTTTTCAAGTAGATTCCTTGATGCCAAACATAAAATTTTAAATGTGGAAGAAAGACTATTCCATGGTATGATTCCTGTCCCATAATCTGGACCTGGGCCAGAACAGAGATTGCTTCCCATAAATCCCCCTTAGAGACTGTCAGATCACAATTGATGTTCATTCTGACTCCTCCCCTGCCTCCAGTGACTTGTCCCTTCCCGAAATAGGCTATTGTCCTGATCTTGTCAAGCATGTAAAGTGATTTTTGTACCTCGTAGCATTCACGTATTATTATCCCAGATTACTCCCCACCCCTTTTAGCCTAAGTAAATTCATTGGCACCTGCCAGGTGTCCCAGGGATCCATTCTATCTCACAGCCACCCAAGACGGACCTTGTATGTAAGTTTCCCTTAGTGAATTCTATTAATTACCAGACTGGAGTGACCAGCCTCTTTCATTGGTCTTTCCTTGCCCTCCCCTTAGTGAAGTAGGTTTTTAGTCCTGGGACCTTTCCCGGGGTCTGCATGTACTAACAAGTGTGGGCTGGTTAGATAAAAGGGTGCTGCAGAGGACACTCATGCTGGGTGAACCTACTAAAATCTCTGACACAGAAGGAAGGACAGTGTGACATCAGGAAGACCCTGCCCAGCTTCAGAGTGGGAGGGGGAGGAGGGTATGAAATTATGATACTAAATTTTCTTTTCTCTACTCTTTCTTTTTTCTTTCTGTTTGAGTGAGCTATTACTAAATCAGAAAAATGACCATCTCTTACTTGGAAAATTGGAACTGTCCATTTAGGAGCTAGAAGGGATTTTAGAAGGAAAAAAAGTAGATTTCCACTGTGTATAAACTTTCATTCAACTGCTGTAGAAGAACTTCTAAACAACGATGTAGTTTCACAGTAGCCTCTACAGAAGGCATGAGAGGAGTAAGGATGTACATGGCACCTCTGTCCTAATGTAACCCCTGCTTTCTATAGAGGAGCAACCTGAATCTCAGAAAGGTTAAGTGGCTTGCTCAGGGCTGCCGCTAGTTTGTGGCACAGCTGGGAGTAGACCCTAGGTTTCCTTGTTTCCCAGTCATCCTTTCTGCCACCAGAGTCAACTCAAGAAAAAAATTCCGAGTCTTCCTGCTTCACTACATGCTGTGGACTTGTGGCTCTTCCTGAGCTGGCGGCTCTCACAGATTCCCAGGGTACTTGGCCTGTGAGTCTGTTTAGTTCTTGGCAAAGCTTCCTTACATTTCTTGGACAGACTCAGCTTCTGTCATCACTTAGTCATTTTATTTGTCCCTTTGTTTTACAGCTGTATCTGACTCTAGACAAGGTCATAGGGAGAGGAAGGCCCTACTTCCAACCAGTTTAACTACTTCTGTTATTGTCTTTATATACTACATTTAAAAATGATGGAAGTGGCTATTTTTCTTCTGTAAACTGAATTCTTAGCCCTGGGAACTTCTGTATAAGTAGGAGGGTCTGTAGGTGAGAGCCGACAGACATTCCTACATTTCTGGGGTAATGGGAGTCTCACTCCTTACCAGCGGTGAGGATGCAGGAGGGTGGAGGGTGGAGGGAGAGAAAGAAAACTTTAATTTTTTAGATTTGTTTCCTTTAGATATAATTTTTCTTAAGTTTATCTCACTCTTCTTCCTAAGCTTAAAACTCATCAGTTTTCTTCCTGCCAGTGCTAACATTTTAGTGGAGATTCTAAGAATGCTTACTTGGTGTTCTGCTGCATTTGTATCTGTACATCACCAGAGCTGGTTTCTGGGTCCTTGTACTTTCCGGGTATTAACTGAAAAAATAGAAAGCAAAAATGAGAAGCAATAAGCATTTTTTTTTTAAGATCCAAAGGAATTGCAATTCGGGAGAATAAATTCAGGCAGAAACTCAAATAGTGTTCTCCCTTTATAGGGGCTCAAGTTTTTATGGGAAAAAGGGAGAAAGATGAGGTAAGTTGTATTAAAGAAGTTTATTGGTATTAGATGAGGTAGGGTTAGATTTGTACTTCATGGGTTGGCTTGAGATTCACCTGAAATTGTATTTAATTTGTTGGTTAGAAATCTGGTCATTCTCAAAGTCCAATTTCATCAATCTTTACAAATAGGATAGTCTTGGCCTTCTTGGAATTATAGTGACTTGGTTCAGCTTGTAAGATAAAGAAAAATAAGATGTTCAGAGCAGTTCTTCTGTAATGGCTACTTAGGCTCTCTTTTAACTCTATATCCAGTAGTTTGCTTTCTTCCACTTCTGTCATCTGTGACCTGTTTCTTTGTTTCCGCATTTTGGCTGCTTCCCTGTGTTGATAGAGTGGCTTTCTGTGCTAGGTGTCCTATAAGGCCCAGTGGCTCAGCCTCCCCAATTACCTGAGGTGGATACTCTTGGTGCACCCCTTTGTGGGCTTTGTACAGTCTTGTTGTAGTTAAGTCTTATTGTTGTAGGTATCACTGGGAGGAATTGACCTCCAGGCCAATTGGCTGTGAGAATCAGCTGTGTCTACAGTGGGAGAACTTCTGTGCTGGAGACACTCTTCTGGGGCAAGACTTGCTTCAGTGGGGCTTTGGTGCTCACTGAATCTGCCCCCTGCGTGTGTCCCTTATGGATCTGAGGAGTTATAATCTTGATGGTCCCACTCTGACCACTGGGTACACTGGCTCTTGGATCTCTAAGGAGGTGGTAATTTAGCCTCTGCCTGAGGCTACCCAGCAGGAGCTATGGAGAGATCTGCAGATTCCTCTTCTTTGTTTGGGGTTTGGAGGTGCCCAGATGAGGCCCAGCTATGAAGCAATGCAAGCTGCTGTGGGGCCTTGGGCCTTCTTTTGGATGTTGTGGGTCTCTCTGACCCAGCTGCAGTTTGTTAGGTAATTTTAGATTGCAAAGGGATAGGTCATTCATATGCAAGAGCCTCTGTGCACAGCTTGGGTGGGGTGGGGGTCTCAGGGAATCAACAGGGTGGAGCAAACAGCTATGGCTGATCCTCAGCCTTGCCTTAAGAAGCCCGGGGTCTCAGTGTCCCGCGGTAATCTCTGCAAGTACCTCTGAGAGAAAGCCACCCTGGAGTTCTGCCTGCTGGCAGACAGTCCAGTTTCTGCCTGTATGAGTCTGGGTCCCCAGAGACTCGCCCAGAACTGGAGTTCAGAGCAGTCAGGA